AGAGCTGCACTTGCAGGTTGCACCTCCCTGCTGCTCTCTTCCTGTGAGCCCCAGCAGTCAGGGCCTGGTAAATCCTGGTAAATGTCCAGTCTGGAGATAGCCAGGAGACCAAGTTCGTGCCGTCCATACCCGCAGGAGATCACACTCTGCACTGGGGCTCTCTTTCCACAGTGAGTGAAGCTGTGGCTATAGTTCTTTGTGCTCTGTCACCCTGGGGCTCCTCTGAGGGGTGGAGGTGAAGTTCCCCCATAGAGCCATGTCCCCTCCTTCAGTGTGGGAGTGTCCCCAGTGTCACTACAGCCTTGGGATTTCTTGATGTGAAAGCCATGGCCCTTCATCCAGATCCCCGCCCCATTCCCTTCCCCCATGACAGGACATCAGGCCCGAGGCAAAGCCACACTTCTTACCCGGTAGGGTTGAATGGCCTCATCGAGGAACCCCACAGTGTGGGTCTGGTGAATGGGACCCGCTCGGCAGAACACACAGAGGAACTCAGCATCGTTCTCGCAGAAGAAGTAGATCTTCTCGCCATGCTCCTCACAGTAAGTCTCCCCCAGAGGGCCCAGGGGCACGGGGGCCATGAAAGTCTCTGTCTGCTCCTCCTCCTTGCAGAGCGGGCATAGCAGGACCCTGCCCGAGGGCTGGGCCCCCATCTTGGAGGGTGGGGAGAGGCAGAGCCAGCAGAAGGTGTGTCCACAGGGGGCAGTCACTGCATCCTTCAGGGGCCCAGTGCAGGCAGGTCAGGCAGGCCCCTTGTGGAGAACCTGCATGGAGGGGTTTGAGGGCATCACAGTGCCTTCCCNCCCTCCTTCAGTGTGGGAGTGTCCCCAGTGTCGCTACAGCCTTGGGATTTCTTGATGTGAAAGCCATGGCCCTTCATCTAGATCCCCGCCCCATTCCCTTCCCCCATGAAGGACATCAGGCCCGAGGCAAAGCCACACTTCTTACCCAGTAGGGCTGAATGGCCTCATCGAGGAACCCCACAGTGTGGGTCTGGTGAATGGGACCCTCTCGGCAGAACACACAGAGGAACTCAGCATCGTTCTCACAGAAGAAGTAGATCTTCTCACCATGCTCCTCACAGTAAGTCTCCCCCAGAGGGCCCAGGGGCACGGGGGCCATGAAAGTCTCTGTCTGCTCCTCCTCCTTGCAAAGCGGGCATAGCAGGACCCTGCCCGAGGGCTGGGACCCCATCTTGGAGGGTGGGGAGAGGCAGAGCCAGCAGAAGGTGTGTCCACAGGGGGCAGTCACTGCATCCTTCAGGGGCCCAGTGCAGGCAGGACAGGCAGGCCCCTTGTGGAGAACCTGCATGGAGGGGTTTGAGGGCATCACAGTGCCTTCCCCAGCCCATCCACTCAGGCCTCTGCTTCGGTCCCCACAAATTCCTTTCCCTGAAATCGATTCACTTAAATGAATCACAGAGGGAAAGGACTATGAGGTCAAGAAAGAGGACGTCAGGAACGTCAGCACAGGGAAGCCACCTGGCTCCGCCTCTTGCACTCCCCAGAGCCCTCGGCCACCACCCGTCAGCTGAGCAGGTCCAAACTCCAGGGCATCTCAAATAACCCAGCATTTCCCAGTGGCAGCCAAGTGAGCCTTCCTCCACTTCTCCGGCTCCTCTGGTTCCTGGTGTGGGAAGCAGAGCATGCCATGAGGTCATGGGAGATGGAATTTCCTGGAATCCCTTGACCACAGTGGGGTAGGGAGAGTTGTGGAGAAGACGACGCTTCCTGCCAGATTGAACAGGTGGGAGCCATAAACTTCTGGCTTTGAGGCGTGCCTGCAGCGTCAAAGTCCAGGCTGGAGTGGGAGGTGAATGACCTCTGGAGACCCTGAGGGGACCCTGTTCAGATGCTGCAGGTGTGAGCATTGCTGGTGGCCCCTCCTCCACTCTCCGTTCCTCCCCTCCCCTTATCTGCCCACTCTGGCCTTTCCTATAGTCCTAAATCCCCCACCACCCAGCACCACTCTCCCCTCTGGAGTTTGGGTAACACTGGACTTCACTTCTATTATTTTTTACTGTATGTAGGAGAAGGCAAGAAACCATAATGCAAATGATTTATGTTGATAAATCATTAGAAAACTCAATTATTTGAAAAGATAAAGAGGTTCAACCACATTTATCTAGGGCTTAGTATTTTCATATTACATCCAACTCTAACAACAACCCTTTGGGGCAGGTATCATTACTCGTACCTTCATTTTACAAAGAAAATGTAAACTGAAAGGTAAAGTGACTTTCCAAAAGTCAGAGAGCTAGGAAGCCGCAGGGCTGGGGACAACCCAGGTCTCCCGGCTTCATGCCCTGTGCCCCTCCTGCACTCCATCCAAGACAGAGACCGAGCGGCCATGCGTCTTCATCTGCTCACCTGCTTCTGCAGATAAAACCTGGCCTCCTTCCATCCTGCACTGAATGATCAGCCCAACACCCTGCTGTCGCTCCCTCTTTACTCCAACTACTTTGTCTGTCACCTCCCCTTGCTACCCTATCTGTCCCTCTTCCCCAGAGAGTGCAACCCTGGAGCTACAATGTCC